GGGGGCAGGGAGAGTGGACAGTGGAACAAGAGGAAGGAGAATGTGGGCCCAGGGAGCCCAAGTTCAGCCAGAAAGAGTAGAAAAAGAAGACCGGCTGAGATTACCAGCGGTGGCACTGCTTACTCTGAACATGCCTAAAAACCACAGAATGTTTGGAATCTACCAAGGGGAATCCTGAAGGTGAGCAGTCCATAGTCTCCACTGACACTCGAAGTGGAGGCCCTCACTGTGTGGGAACAGACTATTTCAGACCCCTGAGAAAAGTCCAAACTGACTGTTGAGGGAGGTCAACAACACTCACTTTGGGCCTTTTCTTTCTTCAAAGGCAAGTTTATGGGTGGGCATGGCGATAAGGCGAGGGCCTGCAGAAGTCTTGCTGTACCTGTATTTGTAAGTGCTGTATTTGAGTTTGCTTTGCAGTTTCCCCATCTCGGCCCAGAAGTGACACAAAACCTTGTGAGGAGGAGCTTGTTTCAGTTGGCACCTGAGAGACAGCATGCCTTGTGGTTGCTGGAAGTGGTCGTGCCTGTTTAGTAAAAAGCAAAATGCATCCTGTTAATTTTGTTATGTACAATACTAGATACATGACATTTTATGAAAAATATTCTACTCTAGAGAACATTATGCTGAGTGAAACCAGTCACTCATAAAAGGACAAATATTAAGGGTTCATGGGTGGGGGGAGTGGGAAGGGAGGAGCTGATGCCAGGGGCTTATGTGGAGGGCAAATGTTTTGAGAATGATGAGGGTAATGAATGTACAAATGTGCTTTATACAATTGATGTATGTATGGATTGTGATAAGAGTTGTATGACCCCCAATGAAATGATTTTTTTAAAAAGAACAATATTGTATGAGACTGCTGTTCTAAAGGAAAAAAAATCTGATCAAACTTGTTATTTGGTCATTCGGCCTCCCTCTCAACCAGTGGTTCTCAACCTTCCTAATGCCGCAACCCTTTCACACAGTTCCGCATGTTGTGGTGATCCCCAACCATAAATTATTTTCATTGCTACTTCATCACTGTAATTTTGTTAGTTACGAATCATAATGTAAATATCTATATGCAGGGTGTATTTTCATTTTTACAAACTGAACATAATTAAAGCACAGTGGTCAATCACCAAAACAATATGTCATTATATATTGTGAAACATTTATTTCTAACTACAAATAAATGAAATTTTGTCTTGAAGCATGGTGTAGCATGGGTAACAGTCTTAATATAACAACAGCAGTAAACTACATTGCTACATTTTGGGACAGTATGCATAAAAAGTCAACATCAGTGCGAAGGTTGAGATAGCTTCTTTCTCACCAGATCAGAAATTCTCGGGGCAGTCTTTGCAAGAGCACAACGAAGATCATCTTCCACAACAAGTCTACTTCTGTATTTAGACTTGATAACTAACAAGCTGAAAAGCCCTGTTTCACAAAGATGTTGTTGGAAATGGAAGAAGGCGCAACACAGTCTCAGACAGAACAGGATATGACTGCAAACCCTTGATCCAGAATTCTGTAATTGGCATTGTAGAGAAATCTGTTCTCACTGCATCGCTGTTAATAAGTTCAATGAACTCCTCTTGTACTGTCTCAGGAACATCTTCAACTCTATGAATGGGCTGCTGGCAAGTGCAAACGGGGTGACAGGTAGATTTGGAAAGTCCGACGAAATTTCACCTGCAACCATGTGCAAGTGTTCTTTCACAGAAATTATCATCGTAGTCCTTTTGTCTGGTTCAATGTCATGCTCCTCAAAGAAAGCAAATAAGGTAGGCAACATGTAAATCTTATTTTAATCCAATTTTTCTTGCCAAAGCTTTAGTTTCATTTGGAATGATCAGATCTTTTCAGACAAATCAAGGCATGTTGCATTTGGTCCTTGCAGCGATAAATTTAACTCACTCAAGATGGCAAAGAAGACAGACAACCAAGTAAGCTGTTTTCTGCAGTTCACTTTGATTACTGAAAAGTGCTTCGAACTGTGGTCTTGCTTTCTGATTAAAAAATGTTTTGAGGTCATCACAAAACTCAAAAACACGCTTTAAAATTTTATAATTTATAATAATAATTTATAAATTATCAAGGGCTCAGGGGGGAGGGGGTAGCAGGGAGGGAGGGGGAAAATGAGGAGCTGATGCTAAAGGCTCAAGTAGAAAGCAGGTTTTTTGAGGATGATGATGGCAACATATGTACGAATGTGCTGGACACAATTGATGTATGTATGGTTTGTGAAAAGAGTTATATGAGCCCCTAATAAAATGATTTTAAAAATTAAAAAAAATTTTTTTCCTCTCAACAACCATCTCACTTCAGTGTGAAATAGCAGGGCATTATTCCACGCATCCAAATCATTGCACAGATGCGAAAACTGTCGATTTCACAAAATTGACACAACTTATGATGCTTTACATTCCTTCTTGCAACTCTTGTGGCAGCGTCTTCATTGCTAATATTTGCCGATGAATCATACAGTGAGTTCCAATGACTTTTGGTGACTCATTCAGTACCAAACGTTGAAATCCAGATTTGACATCCTAGCAGAGCTGGAGCACCATCTGTGCAAACACCACAAGCCTTTTCCCCAGAGACCTTATGCCCTTTCAGAAATGAACCAACTGTGTTAAATACATCACGTGCAGTAGTTGTCATTTCAAGAGGTTTGCAAAAAAGAAACATCTTTAAAGTCGCCATCATTAATACAACTCATATAAACCAATAACTATGAACAGTTTGCAACGTCTGTAGATTCATCAAGCTGGATGCTAAATATTGGAAGTGGAGCAGATTTAATTTCCTGGATGACCTGATCAAGAATATCAGCAGACATGTCATCTAATGGACAGTGTCGTTAGATAAGGAAATTGCAGTCAATTTTGTAACAAATTTGTCTCCAATCATAACTCGAACAGTCTTTGGCCACTGGCAACAGTAAATCCTCAGCAATGGTGTGAGGTTTCATAGCTATGGCCATTCTAAGTGCCACCAAATATGAAACTTCATTGGCTGCTACGTTTTGTTTGTGGTACTTGCCACCAGTGTCAAGTCTGGCTTTCTTGAGTCCATCAGCTTTGCTTCTAAAATAGTTGGTATCCTTGCTGGCAAAGCTTGGATGCTTGCTATCAAAATAGTGTTTTAGTTTGTTTGGCTTCATAGACTCGGCTGATAGAACTTCACAACAAATAACACATTGCGGTTTCTCAATTCCTGCTGTCATTATTGAGGCAAAACCATACTGTAAAAAGTCCTCACTATATTTTCTTTTCTTAACGTTCTTCTCTACACGATCCATTGTCACAGGATGGTTTGCTAATGAAAATAATATATAACAATAGCTTTAATAGTACAAAAGATGATACGTGGCATAGTTCAGTCAATACAGTTCCTTAAAGTTTCCGATAATTTACCACTCTGTTGTTTTTTTTACATACCTGTTACTATCATCACAAGGGGCAGGCAGTATTCATATCAACCACAGCTGAATATAAAAAGACCCATCAGCATCCAGATTAAGTTCCTACAGTACATATATATATTTTTTTTCTTTCAGTAGTTGATTTTACATTTACCCAGTAATTATAATTCATGAAGTGTCATTTTACTTCCAATACGGCTGTTTTCAACACAGTAATTGCTTTTTTTACAGAGTAGCTGCTTTCAACACAGCAGCTGCTCTCTACACAGTAGCTACTCTCCACGTGTGACTGGTCCACCTAAGTACATTATGGCGCCAACCCTGTCTCATACACCTGTGTTTGTACGGGGTGTTTGCGATAGGGTTGTCGAGATGATGTCATTATGCCGGGTACTCATATGTGGGTGTATCTGCATGTGGGCGGACCCACCTGGAGGGGGACAAAGGAGTGGTGTCTCAGTTCCTTAGACCATCGGAAATATGTGTTTTCCAATGGTCTTAGGCGACCCCTGTGAGAGGGTCGTTCGACCCCCAAAGGTAATGATTGTGTAATTCTTCTTGATATGATTGAACTATTGAATTGTGTAATAGGTGGATTAAGTGCCAATAAAACTGTTAAAGAAAAAAAATGAAGAAAAAGGTTTTCATAGTAAAAGAAAGACTTTAACCAAGAGTGCGAGTGGGGAGGGAAGCTAAGGCATTAGGGTAGAGAGCAGCCCGGTGTTCACGTGGGTGAGGGAGGGAAGCTCCCCACCAAGGGGAGAAGAGCAAGCAAGGGAGGAGGCCATAGATCAAGCTATTGGGAGTGGCTGACAGACAGGTCGCTTAAACTGTTTCACACAAAATTGATGACCTGAAATATAAACCCTCATCCCATTCACAATTTTAAAATGCCTAAAGAAATAAATAAAAGTTTTAAAAAGCCCTTTAAAGTAAAACAACTTCAATGTCCATCAGTAGATAAGTGGATAAAAGTGTCATGTTCAAGAGTAAGTCAGAAAGTATTTCTATAAAATAACAGACGCATTTATTAAACGTAATGTCAAAATAGAAAGCAATCGTTTCTTGACAAATCCGTCATCTGGGTCTACCCACGGCTGCAGGCAGTGTTTTCCTCTTTCTGGCCCTTCCTCAAATAATCCCGCACTCTTCAAGCCACACCGCGTCCAAATGGCAGCTTCGGCACCCTCGTGGGCTGTAAGCCGTGTTCCTTCTCATTGCTTTTGTGAGGGTGGGGAACAAAAAGGAGTCTGAAAGGCGAGATCCGGGCTGCAGGCTGCATGAGGTAAGTTTCCCAGTGTAGGACGTCTGGTACGACGCAGACGGAGTAGGTGCATTGTCACGATGTAAACAAACTGCTCACCAACACCGTTTTCGATTTGCTGTACACTTCCTTCCCCGTCACAGGTCCCTGCGATCACCCTGTGTCCTTCAAGAAAAGACACCCAGACGACCAGTTGGAACCCCAGAAAACAGTCGCCAGAACATTCTGACCTCTCTGCCTTCCGTTTCACTGGCCTAGAAAATTCCCTCGGACGCCACTGTTTTGATCAGGCCTTTCTTTTTTTAAGGCACCTGAAGGCGATCCGGACAAGTGTGTACTGAAAGAACTGTCCGTAGCCATCCACGGAACACAGAGACTGTTCCAACACGTTTTGTTTGGCACAAACCCATACACCAATGACTAGCACCCTCGTAGCGACACCTTTTTACTCGCCCTCATTTCCATACCAAAGAATATTACTCAGACATCAAGAGAGAGAAATGAAATCTGATATATACTATAACATTAACAGCACCTTGGAAAACCCTTGAAAACATTGCGCTGAGTGAAATAAGCCAATCACAAAAGGACAAATAGTGTATGACCTCACGCATATGAAATACCTGGAACAGGCAAAAGTACAGAGACTACAGTTGGTTACAGGTTAGCAAGGGTGGGGGTGGGGAGGGTAAAGGAAACGTAAAGAAACAACAGCTTTACATGGTTTAGGAAGCATTAGTTTCTGTTTACGGTGATGAAAAATTTGGCAACAGAAAAGGTTGATGGTTGGACAACATATATGATGGCACTAAAATCATACATGTGAAAAGTGTTAAATTGGTAAATGTGCTATGTATTTTTACAATGCTTCAAAAATAAATAGATCCTTTTTATAATGAATGTAACTGAACTACACACATAAATGGTTGTAATGACAATGTTTTCCATGGGGCCTGGAGGGGCACCAAAGTCAAGTGGCACAACACAGTCCACAATGGTAATGGTCTACCTTTGACTTTGCTGAGTAACGACTTTGATCTTAAAAGCTAGTGAGCAGCTATCTAACGCAACTATTGATTTCTCCCCACCTGCAGCAAAGAGTGAAGAAAGTCAGAGATGCAAGGAACCAATTACATGCCCAAAGGACTAATGGACCGTGTGAACCCAGCCTCTGTGGTGCTGAGACCAAAAGAACTAGATGATGCCTGGCTACCACCACTGACTTGCTCTGAGCGGGATCACAATAAGAGGTCACGGAGAGAGTGGGAGAAAAATGTGGAACGAAACTCAAAAGCATAAAAATGACCAGGCTCACTGGTCTGACAGAGAGACACTGGTGGAACCTGAGACTGTCTCTTAGACACACTTGACCTGAACTCACTCCCTTAGCTCCACTTTCAGACACAAAGAGGAAGGCCTATCCAACACCATGGAGGTGTGAGCTCCACGGGACAATCAGTCATGCTCCGTCAGCAGGACAGCCCTTTCCGCAGAGGAAACTCAGACGTCAGGCAGGGACAGGAAGGAAAGGAGAAGGGAAAGGGTACGCACAGGGAGGAAGTGGGGAGACTGGCACTACATGGTGGGCATTGCAACCAGTGCCTCAAAATGAAATGCGCATGAATTGTTGGGTGGAAAACAAATTGGCTATGAAAACTTCCACCCAAAACGTAATTCAAAGCAAATAAAAACTCTCATTAAAGCAAAAAAATAAAACAAAAGGCAACATTTTGTTATACTTAATCACAGAAAAAATAAATCTTTTCTACAAAGCACACACAAAGAAAACGAATTTAAAAACTAGAAAGAGCACTGTAATTGGAAATAAAAGTTTCCGCTTGATGAGGTTTCTTGGCTTCTGTGTCTCCTCTCAAGCTGCATCCTCGAGTGCCCTTGCTTCCCATTTACACAGTGAGGACACCCGACCAGCTGACCACCAGCAGACCGCCTTGACGAGGGCCCTCATACAAAGCACAGCAGGGGAAGAACGGCTGCTACCTGCAAGGTTAGTGGCTCAGACCTACCAGCCTCTTCCAGGCCGGCTGCTCCCAGAAAGATTTAGTCTCAGAAATCCTAAGGCACCGGTCTACTCTGTCCTATAGGGTCACTTTGAGTAACTTCATGGCAGTGGGTTTTTTGTTTTCATTTGTGTGCTTGATATTTATATTTATTTTATATTTATCTTTGTAGCTCAAGTAGCTTGCATAGTGCACCAAAAATATCTGTTTTGAAGTAGGAAATCCGAGGTTATTTCTAAGACATTCTAGGATTCTCTATCATAAGCCACAAGATGTGCTAACAGGTACAATTCCATGACAGTTTCCAAAAAGCTTGAGATGCTGTATTGTTTATAAATAAACAGAGCACAGGACTTCCTATCTGCCAGCCTCCGTTTCAACATTGTCAACAAACTAAGGACAGATACCACTCATTGATATAGGTCACTAGCCACTGCAGATGCTATAAAGGGACTGGCTCTGCTTGGACTCTTAGCTACTGCCTTCAGAGAGCCCTACATCCCATCTGAAAAGTATTCATAGAAAAATGTAAGAAAAAGATCATGTTTAGAATTACTTACCCCCGAATCAATAGGATCGTCGTAGTGAGATGCCGTATTCAAAGATTTATAGTTATCCTTTAGAAAATAGTTCATGCAGCCACCTCCTAATCTCTGTAGTTAATGAAGACACTCGAGTTAATCTCTTCTCTGTCTAAACATGTTTGCACAGAAAGCAGATTTGTAAGATAATGACCTTGTTTCATTAAAGAGATTAAAAGAGATTTTTCGCTCACAAAGAGATACCTGATAAAATTCTAAGATCCTATAACTCACATTTCCAACAATTAGGGACGGTATATCATGTTAGCTACACAACTATTTCAAATATGCAGATAGAGGATATTTAAATACATCCTTGCAATTTTAGTTGAATCCTAATGTAGAGCTTCTGCCAATCAGAAATCCTCGAGAACGGTTAATAGTTTCATGAGAAGGGCAATCTCTCACATCTTAAATAATACTCCATTAAGTATGAGCTGTAGAATTTGAGGTGGTAGCTTTTCAAAAGCATCATATATAAACCTTTTATTTAAAGATACGGAGAGAGCAGAAACATTATTTACTCAAAATTATAACGATGTAGATATGTTGACAGAATTTTTATTACATACACTTCTACATAGAAGAAACACATTTTTATAGCATTTAAACTCTATTTTAAGGATTCAGCTACATAAACAGAATCGGTTTACAGTGCAGCAGCATAGCTAGCTTAACATTTCATTCAGTACATTCGTCTTGGAATTAAGACAGAAGCTAGGGCTGAACTGTGACGCTCTCAGGTAGCACCGAGGTTAGAGAGCTCGGCTGCTGACTTAAAGGTCAGCAATTCAGCCAACTGCTCCCACCAACTGCTCTGAGAGAAAGAAGTGGCATTCTGCTTCGGAAAGATTCCTCACCCAAAACAGCACGCCAACCCCCATCCTTGAGTCAATTCTGACGCACAGCCACCCACTGGACAGAGGCCAAGCTGCCAGGCAGGGTTTGCAGGTTTACTCATTAGGAAGCCCAGCACCTCATCTTGCTCCCACCGAGCCGCTGGTGGATTCCAACCACCGGCCTTTTGGTTAGCAGCCACACGTCTAACTGCTGCACACCAACGCTTCCTACTGGGGTCCCTGGAAGCTGAAATTGACTCCAGGACACGCAACGTCAGCTCTGAATTACAGTTCTTATCATCCACATGCCATGCGGTTTCTTTGAGGATCAAAAATAGAACTTAACCTGTGCAAAGAATGGCTGTACAAATTTCTTATATCATTCAACACTATCGGAGTTATTTACTCTCCTTATTTTACACATGAGAAAACCAAGGCACACAAAGGTTTGGACAATAAATTGCCCAAATGTAAACTGCAATGTAAGTGGCAGGACTGAAACTTTCATCATGCAGTTACAACCCCCCAGGCCTGCTCTCAGCCAGCACAGCTAAGTCTCTATCAAAGCTGGTGCTGATAAAAGCCCTGGGTTCAACTTGATAATAGATGATCGTTAGATGAATAGTAAAAACCATCGTGAAATAGTTAACTTCACTGTTATTAATCCTACTCATATGCATAACATACATATAAAAAAGCAAGAGAAGATAAATTGAAAGATGAGTCTTGAAGATATTAAACTAAAGCCAGTTATATTCTCTGATCAGAGTGATTGATTACCCTATAAATTCTATATAACTAGGATATATTGAAAGGCACTTAAGAACTTGCAAACAAGGTGTATGTACTTGGAAAATGTCCGTGTTATTATAGTTTATTCTGAATAAATAAACTGCAAAACTAAAATACTGTTTCGTTATTTATATTATCTAATGATACAGATAGGGGAAACTGAGGCCCAGAGATTAGGAGGGGCTTGCTCAGAGTCTCAGATTAGGCCAGTCCCCAGTCAGGGCGCTCAAGGTGGCCCCACGTTTTGGGGACAACCTGGGGGCAGTTTTTCCTTTTCGCTTCCTTACATCACAAAGGACCCTCTACCTGCCAGCTGTTCCAGGGCCCATGAACGCGTATTTTCCGTGGAAGGGGAAAGAGGTGGTTTCCCCGAGACGGGGAGCTAGCCCAGTCGGGTTCTCGGGACCCCCTCCCACTTCAGCCGCGGACGCTCGCGACCCTTCCCCCTCCCCACCCCCCATACCCACCGGCGGGGCGGGGAGCGCCGGGCCGGCGGGCGAGCTGGGGGCGTCCGCAGGCTCCGCGCTCCAGGCGCGCGTTGCTAGGCGCGCGTTGCTAAGGCTGGAGCGCCGCCAACAGGCTCCGGGCGCGCGCGCCAGCCCTCACGCGGCAGTTCCGGCCTGCACGCGCGGACTTTCTTACTGTGACACCGCGCTGACGACGGCTGGAAGCAGACGCGTGTCCAAGGCCCGCTGCCTCCTAACGCGCACAAACAATCGCAGGAACGCAGAGACCACTGTGCCAGCCACCGAGGAAATGCATGATAAGTGCCACCACTGATAAGGCCACCCCCCCTCCCCGAAAACACAATCTCAAAACCCCCAGGGGCACTTCTACTTTGTCCTATGGGGTCGCAGGAGTCGGCATCCACTCGATGACAAGGAGTTTTTTGTTTCATTTGTAAGTTTTTATTTGCTCAGATAGAGGTGCTACCTTACTTTTTTTTTGGGGGGGGGGAGGCAGCGGAGAGTTTCCCTTCAAGCAGACCTCCAAACAGCACTTTGAGAGCAAACACCCTAAGACTCCACTTCCTCCAGAATTGGCTGATTTTGAACCTAAATTGTTGACAGGTGAATTCATGACACCTTTGACTCTTCTACTGTCTCAGACCTCAGGTAACAAATGGTTGATCAGCAAAAATAAAGGGGTTACAAAAACACTCATTTTTCTGCTGTTCCCCTTTGGGCTTCATGCAAAGACAAGTCTGTGTAAATGTATAATTGACTCTGATTTAGAAATCTGAAAATCAGTCCATCTTTGTTTAAACAATGTTTTACAATTGTAACTATATTGTTCATATTGTATAAAATGACTCATGTAATAGATCTATGTGCATATATATACAGCCTTAGTATTAAGGTAGCAGATGGACATTGGGCCTCCACCCAAATACTCCCTCCATGCAAGAATACTATTGGGCTGACATTCCATGATGCGCACCTTCCTGACACAATCGCTGAAGACAAAGTGGCTGCATAAGCAAATGTGGTGAGGAAGGCTGATGATGCCTGGCTATCAAAAGATACAGCATCTGGGGTCTTGAAGGCTTGAGGGTAGGCCAACGGCTGGCTAGCTCAGAGGCAGTGAAGCCAGCGTGGAGGAGGCGCGCCAGCCTGCGTGAACTCGAGGTGCCGAGGGGATCGGGTGTCTGGCATCAAAGAACAAAAAATTGTGTCATTGTGTGCTCACCTCCTCAATGGGATCAATGAAGACAGATGGGTGCATAAGCAAATGTGGTGAGGAAGGCTGATGGGGCCCAGCTATCAAAGGATACAGTGTCTGGGGTCTTGGAGGCTTGGGGGTGGACAAATGGCCATCTAGCTCAGAGGCAGCAGGGCCCATGTGGAGGAAGCACACCAGCCTGTGTGGTTGCTAGGTGTTGAAAGGATCAGGTATCAGGCATCATCAGAACAAAAAAATC